ATTACAATAATGAATTATTTACGTGGCCCGACTTCTGCCCTGCTAAACTTCCTTTTTTTGATTAAAAGTTTTTTCGAATATAAAATATATCTAACAATACTCATTTTAAAAACAATATTCAGTTTGTAAACAATTCTCATTTTGTAAACAATACTCAGTTTGTAAACAATTCTCAGTTTGTAAACAATTCTCAGCTTGTAAACAATACTCAGTTTGTAAACAATACTCTGCTTGTACACAATTGTCAGTTTGTAAACAATACTCAGTTTGTAAACAATACTCAGTTTGTAAACAATTCTCAGTTTGTAAACAATACTCATTTTGTAAACAGTCCTCAGTTTGTAAACAATCCTCAGCTTGTAAACAATACTCAGTTTGTAAACAAAACTCATTTACTTAAAAAAAACCTCCAGTTTTTGTAAAACAGAAACATTTTTCAATAACAATAGTGAGGAAGGAATTTAATTTTGATGATGTTACCAAAAACATTTTCTATAGTTTCTAACGATGGTACTTTATTCTACTATTTATTCTAAATTCTTATTATTTATCTATAGCATTATTCAGCCCGTACATTTTATGTTGTATTGTATGATTTGTGCCAACAAAATAATTCCGTTTTTTAAAAGTTGATAACTTTATCAAACAAATAATTTTTATCACCAAAATTTAATTTCAAGTATGTGTTTCTTCCAGCAACAAAAAAAAACATAATTCAGTTTTTCACGCGGCGCCGGCACTTATTCTTTTAAATTCTCTGCCACCATTGTTATCAATCCCCAGGGGCGGATACAGGATTTAAGTGAGGGAGGGAGGGTGGCAAGATTTTTTAGGAACCAAAATTTCATAATTAGGAACAAAGAATAGCACGCAAGCGAAAAATTTTTGACTCAAAAAGAGTCAAAATTAATGACTAAAGACTAAAAAACTAGATTTTTAACTTTTCACACATTATAGTTTATTAAGACAGATATTTTTCCTGTTTTGCACTAGGGTTTCTTTCCCNGAATTATCAGAATTAAACACTTTTCAACCTAGATAAACAATATTATCTTCCACATGTGAATCGGGCATTATACCATCTTACAGTCGCTTAAGAAAAATGTTGTAACATAAATGTTTTGTATTTAAAGTGAAAAAGCAATAACTATAGAATAGTAGCGATATTAGATATTATTTAGATATATTTATAAGACTTCAGATTTTTTTTACTTAGTGAAAATAAATTGTAAATATTTTCTGTGATATTCTAGGAGTCTGGGAGTCTATGAGTCTAGGGGTCTAGGAGTCTAGGAGTCTAGGAGTCTAGGAGTCTATGGAGTCTGTGATATTCTAGGAGTATAGGAGTCTGTGATATTCTAGGAGTCTAGGAGTCTAGGAGTCTAGTTTCTAGGAGTCTAGGAGTCTAGGGGTCTAGGAGTCTATGAGTCTATGAGTCTAGTTTCTAGGAGTCTAGGAGTCTATGGAGTCTGTGATATTCTAGGAGTATAGGAGTCTGTGATATTCTCGGAGTTTAGGAGTCTAGGAGTCTAGGAGTCTAGGAGTCTAGTTTCTAGGAGTCTAGGAGTCTGTGATATTCTAGTAGTCTAGGAGTCTGTGATATTTTAGTAGTCTTTTATGAATAGAGTGCTGTATATGATCCAAAGAAAGGGGAGGGAAGTGAAGGAAAGAGAGATGGGATATAGAGGGGAGGTGAGGGCATTTGAGGAGGGATATAGAGGCGAGGTGAGACTAAGTGAGGAGTGTAGCGAGTAGTAAGGATGATTGACGAAAATGGAAAAAGGATAGGAGGGGAGAGGGAGCTGTATTGTAAATATCCATATTCAATTCTGGCTTTATCGACTTTTAGAATAGATATTACTGTATACTGTAGAGTGTATGGGTTCAGTAACCTGGATCAGCATGTGGATAATTAATTTTTATTTCCCCTCTAAACGTTTTTGCGTAAGCGTACACTTTTTGTGCATACGTTAAACTCCTGAAATATAACGATCTGAGGTTTAATAAAGTTAAGATTTTGCCTTAGACATATAATCTTTGAATTTAAAAACAAAATCTTTATATTAATTTATATTTTTATTAGATCAATAACTTTACGGCCGCCTAGTTTACCAAATTATTTTTAGAAAAATTTGACAATTTCCGTACCGACATCATATTTGAGGTGGAAGGAGGACACCCTGAGAGTCTGATTTGATTTGAACCTCTGGTATTGATTTTAAGCACAATTATAAGAAAAGCAAATTTATCTGCAGTTACAAACAAGAAATTCGAAATACTTTTGTTTTCTCAATAGCTCTTCAATAAGATGAGTTATGTTTAAAACATTTGAGTTATGTACAATTTACTTTAGTTTGACGTGAGACCTGAACTTTTTCCTATGCATCCCAGACATTCTTAGCTCTGCTAGTTTCCCGTGATAAGTTGAAAATATTGTTTATTTCCAAACAATAGACTGGTTTTAGTAACGTGGGTTCCCATCTTCTACTAAACATTTATTTGGGCGCAGCAGTTGTGCACTTATCTTTAACGCGCTTGCAGGCGTCGTGCTTCAGAGATTTCAACGGAGTAGAAATTACGCGCGAAAAGAAATTAAGCGCAAAGTGAAACTTAGTTAAGCCTCAGTGCATAAACAGCTTTCAAAACAAATACTGATACAAAATAATAATAATAAGGTGAAACATAATTTAAAATAAACTCTGACAAGAAAATGACGAATTGAGGCAAAATTAATTTTTAAACAAACAAGCAACAGTGATTTAATCATGAACGCGTCGTTTAATTTCAAGTGAAATGTCAGATTCACAACAGTACCCTCTCTGCTAGTCTCTAAGAGAAACCACAATTGAATTTAATCAACTGTTCAGCTAACAAATATGGATATTTCATTCAACCTTGATCAGACAAAGGTATAAAGGGTACCGTTGTGAATAGTGCTTAAAACTTATTTTATAAAGGGGAAGTCAATCGTAATCAAAATGGCAGTCGCTTTTCCGAGTCTATTTGCTCTTCATTGTCGAAATCATAGATTAATAAAAATACAGATAGAACACTAGATGTCGTCTTTTCAAGATTAACCCTATCTCTGCTGGGGTACTTGAAAACCAGGATATGCTGGGGGGGCAATTTGACCCCCACCCTCTAAATCCCATGTTTTATATCCAAATATGACAAACGATACATCATTAGAAAGCTCTTGTGTTCTACTTTTAGAATCTGCAAAAAAATTTNGAGACAAATGTATTGAAATAAATGTAATAGACAAATGTATTTAAATATATAATTAATGTAAGAGACAAATGTATTCAAATATATAATAAATGGAAGAGGGAGAAGTATTGATCAAAAGGCATTATAATTATAATTAAGAAAAAGCCCCAAAACCAAAGAAAATTTTACAATTAAACGGAGGAGAAAACTTGAATTTGCACAGAAAAATCAAAGATTTAGATGATGAGCATGAAAATTTAAAAGATTGGACGATTGGTAATTTTTTTTAATCACTTACCCTCCAAATAAATGTTTTCACAGACAGTACTAAGGAGAAGTAAATTCTCCATTGAACCCCCCTCCTCGAATACTGAACGAACACTGATGCATCTATTATTGTTTATAAAATCCCCCAAATAGAACTGGTTTCAATATGTACACAAAGTATACAAAACAGCAATTGACTTTCCTTGCCTTACATTCATTGGCCCAATCAGTCCAGCCGTTTGGCCGGCTATACGCAACATACATATATGAATGTGAATTGCTTGTTTTATTTATAGATATCAAGTTGTAAGTATAGTATAAAGTTGAGTGGGTCGACTTTAATGCCAAAAATTTAGTTTTTCGGTAAAATCGTTCAAGTGCGGGTAAATGGTGGCAGTAACTTTTAGTAACCTTGACAGCTCTTGGTTCCCTAGGATTTCGCTTCGTTCGCTCGCGAAAAAGGCGAAAATTTTCGCTTTTATCGCAAAATTCCGCTACAATCTGGTTCGCGAAAGAAAATGATGCGAAAATTTCGCGAAAAAATACGGTCGATTTAGAAGATTCATTCTTGTTATTGGCTGACTCATGTATTTGGGTAAAAGTACGTGGACGGACAGAAATTCTCTTTATCAAACATTTGTTGAAGTAAAGAAAGATAAATTATTAACTGTTGCAGCTTCAACAATTATGGTTTTCGCGAAAATACTTTCGTGATATTTTCGCATTTTCGCGAAATTTCAAATAGTTTACGTATTTTTTTGCTTCATTCATTTTTGCGAAAAAAAATGCGAAATGTAAACAAAAATTTGAAGCCTTTTTTCGCGAAACGTTTCGTTCGCTGGATTCCCTAGTTCCCAGGCTGCATTATATATAATTTTTATATAGGTTGAAGAAAGGGTTAAAGAAGCTAACCATGAAAATATTTTCAGCTCTTCTTGTAAGTATCATATGCACAAATTCAAAAGTCCAAAAAGCCACATTAATTTCTCTCTGTAGTTGACATGAAAAAGTAAATTAATGAAATATTAAAAAGACTGCATAGTGCATGCCCGTTTATACTCTGGGCCTGTCATACAATTCCGTGTGTTTAAAATGGTTCAAATTGTCGAGAAACTGGAGAATACGCTAGTGCACAGTGTGAACTTAGCGCGGCGAACTCTACATATTATTTTCGAAAATCCTGATTATATATTCTTAGATATAAAACAACAATTGCAAATGTTTTTGAATAGAGAAGTATGTCATCCTTGAGAAGTTAATGGACTTAAGGGTACTGTTGTGAACCTGACACATCATATATTAAATACAATAACATAAAATATAATACAGGGGGTCCCAATAAAAACGGGAATTCAGTGACGAATTCGATATCGTCTTTTTAAATAATTCTTTGATTTAGTAAGTGATACCCAAAGATAATATATATATTATCTTTGGTGATACCTACTGAAAAGCTGTAATCTGTAAGAGTTTCGTCTGCTATGTTCACATTTTGTTTGTTTATGTTTTGACTGCAAACGGTTGTACTTAGTAAAACAAGAAAATTGCAGTATATATACAAACAGAGTAAACTTGTCCGTCTTCACTGTTCATCTTGCGGAGACATTATAGACACACCATTACAGTCTTTTACACTTTTCATAAAATAAATTCTAACAGCCATAATAATATTATGGCTTAAGAAATTAGATATTACAATGCTAATTCATAACAAAGACGATATCCAATTCGTCACTGAATTCCCATGTTTTTTGGGACACCCTGTACCTTTCCTGCAATGAATGCAATGAATATATTCCTGATAATGTTTTTTTTCATTGGAAAGCTGAGTTGACTAGATTTCTTTAGAAAGTTTATGAAATTAGAGATCATGTGAATGCATATGAAGAAGCACAATGAATATTCAATATTAATACTTTTAATATCATTCTGATATATTTGAAGAAAACAAATTTAAACTACATTATTAATATTTGTAATATGTATGAATATCTATGTATGTGAATAAATCTTTGTTTGGAAAGGTTTCAAGTTTGTCCTCTGTTGCTGTGGGACAGTTACTTCAACAGATTCTAGATATAGTAGGACTACAGCAGCAGGACAAGATTACAGGTAGAGGACTACAGCAGCAGGACAAGATTACAGGTAG